AATTAGATCCCATTTGTCAACTTTTACTTTTGTTGCATTTGCTTTCAGCATCTTCATCATGAAATCTTTGCCATGCCTATGTCCTGAATGGTACTGCCTGGATTTTCTTCCAGTGTTTTTACAGTTTTGGGTTTTAAATTTAAGTCTTTGATCTACCTTGAGTTAATTTTTGTATACAGTGTCAGGGAGGGGTCCAGTTTCAGTTTTCTGTGAATGGCTAGCCAGTTCTCCCAGCATCATTTATTAAACAAGGAATCTTTCCCCATTGCTTTTGTCAGGTTTGTTGAAAATCAGATGGTTGTAGGTGTACAGTCTTATTTCTGGGTTCTCTATTCTGAATCCTAATTCGTTCTCATGCTGTCTCAGAATGTTAACCTGGAAAAATACCGGTTTTACTGCTTTCTTATTCCACAGAATAAAAGCAAGCAAATATAATTAATTTAGCTGATTTAGCCACGTGCAAATAGATCTAGTAAATATCAGAGATTAGACTTTTCAGCAAGTGGCCCTTCTAAAAGGATTCAGACATGCTTGGCCACAAGAAAGAACAAGTGAATAGAGAGGAGTGCTCTTCTCCTGAGCTCCAGTTCAAACATTTTGTTTTGTTATTTGTATATCACTATCAATTTTTCACAAATTTCCTCCTCACGGCAATTTACAACTTTAGGAAGGAAATTGCTTTGTGATACACTTGACTTCCATTGCTGCTTTCAAGGAAACTAATAGAAAACAGCACACAGATGTTTCTCTTCTCTTTGTCACTTGCCTGCATGCGCGCGCGCACGCACACACACACACACTCACCCCTATGGCTAAAGTCAGCCCAAGTCCTCTTTGGCCACACACACACACACTAAAATCAGCTGGACCACTGGCCTTAAGAAGCAGTGACACCATCTAGGTCTACCCTGAGCTGTGAAATCAGCTGGTTACTGAAAGTGAAGAGTAATTCTCAAAGAAAACAATTCTATTTTCTCTACAAAGTCTTCTCATCCATCTTCTTTTCTTTTTTTCTTTTCTTTTTTTTTTTTTTAAGAGGGTGTCTCACTCTGTTGCTGAGGCAAGGGTGCAGTGTTTTTTTTTTTTTACTACAGCCTCAACTTCCTGTGCTCAAGTGATCTCCCCACCTCATCCTCCCAGGTAGCTGGGAGATAGCACTGTGAGCTATCCACAAGCATGTTCCACCATACTAGGAAATTTTTTGTAGAGATGGGTCTTGCTATGTTGCCCAGGCTGGTACCGAACTCCTAGGCTCAAGTGACCCTTTCACCTTGGCCTCCCAAAGTGCTGGATTACAGGCATGAGCCACCACATCCAGCCCCTATCTTCTTTCTCATAGAACTTTCTAGTTAGTCTGGCAATCTCTTCAAAGAAGTTATGTGCTTCTGTAGGCAGAAACAGTACCTTATGTTTGATTCCCTATAGCAGCTAAGACAAAAAATTTGTAAACCTAATTAAGAAATATTTTGATATTAGAGTTCTGGAAAGACCAAAAAAATTTAAAAACACAATTACTTTTGCACCAGCCTAACTCCCTGGTTGCTGCTTGGATATTGACAAGGAAAACCATTCTCCCTGGGCACAGTAGGTGCAGTTTTCTTTGCAAACTTCCCTGATTATAGATTACATTTTGGGTATACATTAAATCAAGATTCCATTAGTGAGTTTATCTTATGTATTGGACCTTGTTTAGGCCAAAAAGTACAGATGGTTCAACTCCATTCTAATTAATCAAACTGTGAGAAGATGAAGTAGAGAAAGACCTAGAAACATGGGCAGAAACTATTTTGAGATCTTAAGATTACCCATATGACTTACACAGTCTGAATATTATAATTCTATATTCCAATTGACCTTCTTACCACCAAAGATCTACCCCAAACATGGTGGTTTCTCTGACCCTCTGCTCTGGTGATAAGTAGTTATTTGCAGCATTTTAGGTAGAAGTTAAAAACTGTATTAATTAAGGTTCTTTGGTTGCTAGCAACAGAAGCAAGCCTACTTAATTTGAGCAAGAATCATATTATTAGGAAGCTACGGGACAATGTACATGATCATAGAGAAGACTGAAGAAACCATCAAAAACCAGGTAGCTTCCAAAGTCTCAGCAGTATCTCCATGGACATCGTCTTTTAGAATGATTGGACTCTGCCTTTTGTTTTGTTTGTTTTTTAGGAGAGTGATTAGCTAAGTTTAGGGCACATGCTCATTGCTTGCCTGTCATGGAGCAGTAAGAAAGATAATCTGACGGAAAGAAACTCAGGGAAGCCCATACTTCCAAAGAGATGAGACAGGTACCTGAATTTGCCAAAACCAAGACTGTACTCAATGCAGGGAGAAGATCCACTCCCTCCTACCCACAAAATAGCAAAAAGCTTCAAGAAATTTGGAAAAGGATATTGAGTGCCTACAAAAAATAAATATTTACTACCACCATCACTCTCCTTTACCTTCTGCTATAGAGGCATTATTGATTTATTCTCTCCAAGTCTGTTAAGCCTTAATTTTAAAAGTGGGGAAATTATGTGTGTCTGCTGCTTAGAATCCTGCTAATAAACTTATCCCATCAGTTAGCCTAATTTTCCCAGGATATTGCACTCATAAAAGTTTCTAAAATAAAATTTCTGCCTATTCTTCTCTGTCTCTGTGCAGCACAGCATGTAGTCCAGGTACTCAGTTTAGCAATATTTTGCAACATTGATACTATCCTCACCTGATTTGCTGAGAAGATGAATATAAGCAAAATGACATTGGTGGCTTTTCATATTTTCCCAGCTTAACAAAGGAAGGATTCTGTAAAATTAACATACAGTTGGATTGGAATAAGCAGCTAAAGCAACTGGCTGTGCAAGGTTTATAATGTCTGAACTCCCACCAAGCTGCTATCATCTCTCCATATGTCTCCTGGTCATTGGGAGCCAAATTTAGGATTTATAAAAACTCAGGGCAATGCCTTTTCTGGTCATGGTACCTGTAAGTGAGCAAATGATTAAGATGACCTACTACTTACTAAATCAACATGTTTAGTAGCTGTCATCCAGAAAACATGCCAGAGCCAAGATAGTACTTGTGTTCATACAAGGCCTTAAAAGAAAGATTCTGCATGTCCATGTTCTGCTATTCCTCTCCAATATTTACACATTATACTATGACAATATAATGTATATTTACTCTGATTACTAGGTCATTTTCACTTCCCAGCTATTTGGCTGATAATTGCTATTCACTGTGTTCCTAAATGCTAAATGACGAACACGCTGGTGCTGATGGAAGTTGTATGTGCCATTTTAGCACTGTGCCAGGAAAAGAAGCTGGGCATAGGGTGCCAACTGCAAAGCCTTACATTGTACTGACCAAAGCATAGGCCCTCATTTATCCATTCAACATTTCAGAAGTTGTAGCTGCAGTTATCTATTTAAATCATTGAAATAATAATTTTTGTGATTTATTATACTGTTGGTTAGCCAACAAAGTCCAAAAGATACTGAATTATCTATGTTTTAATTGCTCCCCTACAATGAATATGGAATCCTGATCATTGCCCACTCCTTCTTCTTGGTTTTAAATTTATAAGCCAAAAATGTGGTTATCATTCATGTTGGTTTTAAATTACTTCAGATGTCTGTACCAGCTATAGGAACACACTGCTACCCTTTAGGATATGGCATTTCCTGCCCAGTAAAAACCCTTTGAAAAACTATGCCTCCTAAACTCCAATTTTAGATGCATCCTATCTGCAACTTTCAGGCCTAAGCAAAAGAAGGAAGAACATAAAAGCTGAGGATATCATGCCTGGCTTTGTTTCCTGAGGTTTGAGGTGAAGATCAGTAAGAGCGCTGGCATTACCTAATGAGTTTCATCCGTTCCGGTTTCAGGAGAATGTAAGTTCAGACATAGGTTTGCAGAGTCATGTGGGATAAAGAAGTCAGAGACTAAGGAGTTGAAGCAGAGAGATGAAATCAGGTTCTCTGTTAATAAGTCTCTATGCTCACTTGGTTTGCTATAGCCTTAATTTCCATTCAGAGTGTTTTATGGACAAGAGGACCAGCACATAAAGGCAGACAGGAGAGAGAGGACCACAGCCAGGCTTGGTGTTCTGAAAGTTTGTTCAAAGTAGGCTACAGAATGAAAAATTAGACCCAGAGCTTGTCCCAGGGGTTTATAATTTAAATTAGGCAATCATTGCTGGGAGTTAATTACAGGTGTCCCATCAAAACCTACAGCAAAGTTTGGGAGTTTCTGATTACGGATATAGAGACACCTTGGAAGCAAGGAAAATATAAAATTTTTTAAAGGCACAAGAGAAATGAGAGACAGTAAATAATTGTTTTAAAAGAATGTGACGAATTCAAGAATAAGTGTTATGTTACCCATATATTTCGAAAAGTTAAAAAACAAGGAATGCCACTACTAGTGACAACAACAACAAAAGCTATTGTATAGCACCATTTTTTACAACTTCCTCATTTTGCCCATGCTTTCCACTTTCAAGTTAATTCTTTCAACAGGATTGTCTTATTTTGACATACAGATTACAATTACAAGACAGCATCCACCACCATTCACTCTGTTTTGGACTCCAAATATTTCTGGTGAGTTTGAGTTTAACCCTTTGTTCATCTTTCTTGTTATTGGTTTGTCAGTTTAAAACATCGTGGAAAGATAACTGGGTTTGAGTAAGTACACAGGATTTCCACTCTTTTCTTAAAAACTAAGCACGACATTAACCCCCTTGGGCCTTAGCATCTTCATTTGTAGGATAACATCCACCATACCTAGTTTAGGATTATTTCAGGAATCAAAATAGATGAATATCAAATATACTTTTGCAAAGCATAGGTTCAATGGGAGTTGATACTTTTTAATATATTTTTCTGATTTTATACAATTTGGACTGGCAGCTGTAAGTCATGGCTAAAAAGCCCAATTCCTCATTTCTGTGTAGCTGTTTGCTTGAGACAACTTCCCTCCACTAAGGTGCCAGCACCTCCCACATTCTTCTCTTGATTTATGATTTCCTAAATCTAGAAAATACATGGGAAATCGCTGAGTATATTCCCAGCATATACTGCTACCAAGATTCTTTCTATCTTCCTATAAGGATTACATTTTCCAAGATGGAATGTGCCACATTAGTCTATAGACACAAATACTTCCTATTCTGAAGTTTCATTGATTTCTCGATGCTATCTCAGAATGGCTGTGGAAGGACTGCTAAGAAATTGTGACGTCAATCAAAACACCACAAAAAGCAGCATGCTGTCATGGATACAATACCTTTGATGTATGGCAGGCACAGATTCTGGTAATTGATAAGTATTTTTCTTCAGGACTTCTCTTGTCTGGTTCAGCCATCATGCTGTTCGTTGGTTGGTTGGTTGGTTGGTTTTTCTCAATCTGGCTCCATCTGCATTATAAGTCATAGAGAGTGTTCCCAGACATAAGCATTAGTTTATTAGTCTCAGTGTGTGTTTGTGTCTTCATCCTTTCCTGTGCACTCAGTATTTTATCATCAAATTAGGAGATGTGATATTTTAATTAACAAGCAAAAGTCTTGCATATTGACCCAGAAGTGTATTTTATCCATTGATTTTCATTCTAACATAATTGGATCTGTAATGCCACAGCCTCTTTGTCCATGAACATCCTACATGATACCTGGACAGTATAGCTAAAGACACACTTGGAGTGGTAGATAAAAGAGTAGAACAAACATGGGATTCTTAGCAACTGCCCAAAAACCCCTAATGCAGCAACCTGTGCTAAACTCCTGGCTCATATTCCAGAATGAGCCAGTCAGAGTGCCCTCTGACTGTAATACCTGGCTCCATTTTTCACATGTATCTCATCTACCAGATTTTCTGGTCTGAAAGAGGAATTTCAGAGTAATAAAAGCAGTGAATGGTGAAAGGCCTAATAATTATGGAGAAGACAGGATGGATGGTGGCAGAGAGCCAGCACAGGATGAGCCCTTGTGAGCACTTCTATCTTTCCTTGAGTAGCGGAAAGAGTTCAATCGCATTCATCAAAGATTAAAGTGCTTTGAGCTGCCCCTCCAGAGCACTTGGAAAGAGTCGTTGCCTTCTTCTCTCTCATCTAGAAACAGATTAAGTTTTTCCATCCATCTATTAATGTTCTACATCTGGTACAGTTTTTACAACTTTCCACCAGAGTTTCCTCTTCAAAAAGCATTGGTCATTCTGAGACAACCATTTCTCTTTCTCTGAAGAAGCTTTGGGAGGCTTTAGGGTGAGAAAGAGGAGAGGATAGAGTCCATGTGTGAAAAATGTGAAGATAAGTTTTGTTTTCATAATCCCTATTTCCTGTTCATATATCTGTAGAACTGTTCTGAAAATTAAATAGAATGAGTTGTGGGAGCAAACCTGAGTCATTCAACCCTGAGAGAAAGTGTGAGTCTGGATCAAGTTCAACTCAATTCAACAAGTATTGATTGACTGCCCATGATGTGCTATCACAGGGTTATCAGGCTGAAAAGCAGAAAACCTACAGAGAGGAAACTGATAAAGCCTTTTTTGTCTGTTGTACTTGGTGTTAGCTGTTATACCTGAATCTTGACTAACAACTTAACTCATGAATTAGAGGAAGTTTTTGTGAGTTTTACTTTACAGTATGCATTCCCCCATCCCTTCTAATAGGATACTGCTTTTCCTCAAGAAACATCCCCTCACGTTCCATCCATGACATCCAGATAAAATGGATTCCATCTCCAGTAACAAAGGAAGGTGTGTACCCAGGCTAAGGTGATCAATGTAACATCCTCCTCTCGCTACAGTGAATGGTTCCAGGAAGAACACATAATGATACTAGAGTTGATCTAAGCTAATCCTGAGACTACATTCCAGAGTCACCACAAGAGAGACACGCAGTCTATGCTAGAGTTTCTGAAAGTATAGATTAAGGGCCTGAAGCTGCTGGCAACCATACTGACACCAAAAGGAAGAGTCTCCCTGAGAAAAGACTTAATGCAGAGACAAGCAAAGTCAAGTACCAAAAGACAAAATTGTAAAGACAGTTTTAGCCCCCAACTTTTCTTTTTGTATTTTTTTTGGAAGGCAGAAAGAGGCTTTTTAAAATTATTTATTTATTTATTTATTTTTTTTTTTATTTAATGTTACTTTAAGTTCCAGGATACATATGCAGAATGTGCAGGTTGGTTACATAGGTATGTGTGTGCCATGGTGTTTTGTTGCATCTATTGACCCATCCTCTAAGTTCCCTCCCCTCACCACCTCACCTCCAACAGGCCCTGGAGTGTGTTATTCCTCTCCCCGTGTCCATGTGTTCTCATTGTTCAACTCCCAATTATGAGTGAGAACATGCAGTATTTGGTTTTCTGTTCCTTTGTTAGTTTGTTGAGAATGATGGCTTCCAGCTTCATCCATGTCCCTGCAAAGGACATGATCTCATTCCTTTTTATGACTGTATAGCATTCCATGGTATCTATGTACCACATTTTCTTTATCCAGTCTATCACTGATGGGCATTTGGGTTGGTTCAATTACTTTGCTGTTATAAATAGTGTTGCAGTAGACATATGTATGCATGTGTCTTTATAATAGAATGATTTATATTCATTTGGGTATATAACCAGTAATGGAATTGCTGGGTCAAATGGTATTTCTGGTTCTAGATCCTTGAGGAATTACCACACTGTCTTCCACAATGGTTGAACTAATTTACATTCCCACCAACAGTGTAAAAGCATTCATATTTCTACACAGCCTTGCCAGCATCTATTGTTTCTTGACTTTTTAATAATTGCCATTCTGACTGGCATGAGATGGTATCTCATTGTTATTTTGATTTGCATTTCTCTAATGATCAGTAATGTTGAGCTTTTTTTCATATGTTTGTTGGTCACATGTAAGTTTTCTTTTGAGAAGTGTCTGTTCATATCCTTCACCCACTTTTTGATGGGGTTGCTTTTTTCTTGTAAATTTGTTTAAGGTCCTTATAAATTCTGGATATCAGACCTTTGTCAGATGGGTAGATTGCAAAAAGTTTCTCCCATTCTGTAGGTTGCCTGTTCACTCTGATGATAGTTTCTTTTGCTGTGCAGAAGCTCTTTAGTTTAATTAGCTCCCATTTCTCAATTTTGTCTATCGTTGCAATTACTTTTGGCATTTTCTTCATGAAGTCTTTGCCCATGCCTGTGTCCTGAATGGTATTCTCTAGGTTTTCTTCTAGGGTTTTTATGGTTTTAGGTTTCACATTTAAGTTTTTATTCCACCTTGAGTTATTTTTGCATAAGATGTAAGGAAAGGGTCCAGTTTCAGTTTTCTGCATATTGCTAGTCAGTTTTCCCAGCACCATGTGTTAAATAGGAGATCCATTCCCCACTGTGTGTTTTTGTCAGGTTTGTCAAATATCAGATGGTTGTGGATGGTGCTGTTATTTCTGAGATCTCTGTTCTGTTCCATTGGTCTATATGTCTGTTTTGGTACCAGTAACATGCTGCTTTTGCTACTGTAGCCTTGTAGTATAGTTTGAAGTCAGGTAGCATGATGCCTCCAGTTTTGTTCTTTTTGCTTAGGATTGTCTTGGCTATCCAGGGTCTTCTTTGATTCCACATGAGATTTAAAGTAGTTATTTTCTAATTCCGTGAAGAATATCAATGGTAACTTGATGGAAATAGCATTGAATCTATAAATTACTTAGGGCAGTATGGCCATTTTCACGATATTGATTCTTCGTACTCATGAGGATGGAATGTTTTTCCATTTGTTTGTGTCCTCTCTTATTTCCTTGAGCAGTGATTTGTAATTCTCCTTGAAGACGTCCTTCACATCCCTTGTTAGCTGTATTTCTAGGTATTTTATTCTCTTTATAGCAATTGTGAATGGGAGTTCATTCATGATTTGGCTCTCTGCTTGTCTATTGTTGGTGTAAAGGAATGCTTGTGATTTTTGCACATTGACTTTGTATCCTGAGACTTTGCTGAAGTCGCTTATCAGCTTAAGATGTTTTGGGGCTGAGATGATGGAATTTTCTAAATATAAAATCATGTCATCGGCAAACAGAGGCAATTTAATTTCCTCTTTTCCTATTTGAATACCCTTTATTTCTTTCTCAGGCCTGATTGCCTTGGCCAGAACTTCCAATACTATGTTAAACAGGAGTGGTTAAAGGGCATTCTTGTCTTGTACTGGTTTACTAGGGGAATGTTTCTGCCTTTTGCCCATTCAATATGATACTGGCTATGGGTTTGTCATAAATAGCTCCTATTATTTTGAGATATGTTCCATCAATACTTAGTTTATTGAGAGGGTTTGTTTTCTGTTTGTTTGTTTTTTGAAATGGAGTATCATTCTGTGGCCCAGGCTGGAGTACAGTGGTGCAATCTCAGCTCACTGCAGCCTCCACTTCCTGGGTTCAAGCAATTCTCCTGCCTCAGCTCCAGAGTAGCTGGGGTTACAGGCGTGCACCACCACACCTAGATAATTTTTGTATTTTTAGTAGAGACAGGGTTTCACTACATTTGCCAAGCTGGTGTCAAAATCCTGACCTCAAGTTATCCACCAGTTTCAGCCTCCCAAAGTGCTGTAATTACAGGTGTGAGCCACCACACCTGCCCAATTGAGAGTTTTTAACATGAAGCGATGTTGAATTTTATCAAAGGCCTTTTCTGCATCTATTGAGATAATCATGTGGTTTTTGTCTTTGGTTCTGTTTATGTGATTGATTACATTTATTGATTTGCGTATGTTGAACCAGCCTTGTATCACAGGGATGAAGCCGACTCGATCGTGCTGGATAAGTTTTTTTGCTGTGCTGCTAGATTCGGTTTGCCAGTATTTTATTGAGGATTTTTGCATTGACGTTCATCAGGGATACTGGCCTGAAGATTTCTTTTTTTGTTATGTCTCTGTCCAGTTGTGGTATCAGGATAATGTCGGCTTCATAAAATGAGCTAGGGATGAGACCCTCCTTTTCATTTGTTTGAAACAGTTTCAGAGGAAGGAACTCCTCTTTGTACCTCTGTAGAATCTGGCTGTCCATCCATCTGGTCCTAGACTTTTTTTGGTTGGAATTTATCCATTTCTTCTAGATTTTCTAGTTTATTTGCATAGAGGTATTTACAGTATTCTCTGATGGTAGTTTGTATTTCATTGGGGTCAGTGGTGATATCCCATTTATCATTTCTTATTGCATCTATTTGAATCTTCTCTCTTTTCTTCTTTATTAGTCTAGCTAGTGGTATGTTTATTCTGTTAAGTTTTTCAAAAAACCAGCTCTTGGATTCACTGATTTTTTGGAGGGGTTTTTGTGTCTCTACCTCCTTCAGTTCTGCTCTGATCTTAGTTATATCTTGTCTTCTGCTAGTTTTGGATTAGTTTGCTCTTGCCTGTCTAGCTCTTTTAATTGTGATGTTAGGCTGTCGATTTG